CACTATTTTTAATTAAATATTATTAAAATATATTTTCTATTTTTTAGTTGGATTTTCTATAATAGAATTGGTATTATATATATTATATTGTATTTGGTTAGTTTTTTAAACTATGATTTATTTTTCATTTTTTTAGTTGAATTTATATTTTTTCATTTTTTTTAAATATTGAATTGTCATTGGTCCTTAATAAGTATACCAAATTTCGAGTTAATCCGACGTTTTGAAGGGGGTTAAAATCATAATATGACATACATACGTCTGAAGCTAATAAAAGCGTATTAAAAAGATTAAATGTATTGTAATGTTTTGTGCAAATGTATGAGATTGTGGTACCCAATAAATAAAATAAAGCATGTTTTGCAGCTTTTTGTGATAATCGTATAGATATACGTAATGTTAAAGCTATTGACGTGCGGTCGGTAGTGTGGCGGTAGCGAACTTAATACACAAGATATTTGACAGATGCCTGAATCTCGCTAACGTAAATTTCAAGATAAGCTCGTACATATAGAAGTTCTAAACAAAAAAATGTTGACCGTCGTTTTACCAAGCAATTACACTCGCTTCCGTTGTTTTTATCCCCAAAGCAGGTTTCTGTTTACTAATTTTAATACCTGCATAAATGGATTAAGAGCAGGCAGCTTTTTGGCAAAAGAATTTTCATCCTTTAATGCTCATAGTCAAACAAAAACTATTATAGTCTAAACTACGTCTAAGTATAAGTAGCCGGTGATGGTAGACCGCGTTCCCCCGACCGCTCTGGGGGAAGGTGTAACGCGGCGCCATCAAAGCGGGCTCTCGGCCCGCTGAACGAGGGAACCGGTGGTCGTGTCGCTGGCGGCCACCGGTCCGGCGTCCGTGGGACGGTGGGATGGATGTAATGTGCTCTGCGTCAACCCTGTCCCGCCGTTTCAATAGCCCCGACTGGGCTCCGGCCNGGGGGAAGGTGTAACGCGGCGCCATCAAAGCGGGCTCTCGGCCCGCTGAACGAGGGAACCGGTGGTCGTGTCGCTGGCGGCCACCGGTCCGGCGTCCGTGGGACGGTGGGATGGATGTAATGTGCTCTGCGTCAACCCTGTCCCGCCGTTTCAATAGCCCCGACTGGGCTCCGGCCCGGTCCGAGGTAGGGCGCCGGTTATGAGCGGCAGGAGTTTTTAGTGAGGTTCAACTCCCACATACCCCACCTGCCGCGCGGGTGGGGATCCGGCGATTTTCTCCTGTGGAAAAAAAAAAAAAAAAAGTATAAGTAGCCGGATATTTTATCTTTTTTTTCCTACCTATTCTAGTAATCTCGAGAGGTTAATCTAGATTCGCGGAGCTAGTAGGTGAGCTCACGGGGCTCAAACCGGGAGTGCTGCTAACTCTGGCCCTAGCAAGAGCACTGCTTCGCAGAATCTACCACCGGATCGTAAATGCGACCCGCCGAGAAGAGGCGAGAAAGGGCTGTGTCTATGGGTATATTTTATCAACAAACTCTGCTCTAAAAAATATTGCATATTATCTGCTTATTTATTAAGGTTTGTTAACTGATTTTTTTTTTTTATTCAGTAGCTATTTGTGAAGTTTGATTTATATATACTCATTAGTGAAAAGATGGTTTATTTGTCAAAATGATAATTTTTTTTACGATCACGCCACGTTAACTGTTCCCGTGTTCAGTTTGTAAAGAGCTTGTGTTACAGGTACCAGATAACGGAAATAAATGTAAGATTTTTATTATACACATACATATATATATATATATATATATATATATAATACACATCCATAGCCCTGGAAAATATATTTTATATTTATCATACAAATATCTTCCCTTGGCGGGATTCGAACCCGCGATCCTCTTGCGTAGTGACCGTGTCACTTACCACTACACCAGACGGCCGTTAATTATAAGACAAAAGAAAAATGTAACAGATACAGTGGTGAATATAATTCGTAAAGTAAACTTAGAAGCGTCAGTAATTATGGTTGAATTTCGATCGCTCGCATTCGTTATTGTTAATTGGCCACAAGAGCTAACTTATTCAACGATTTTTTGTCATGTAACTGGACAAATTCAGAGATGACGTAAAGCTTTGATTTATTCGTGACCGTCACAATAAGACGATACATCAATCTCGTGACAGAACGAAGCGTTTTCTTATAAAACTCCATGTTATTGTTTGTATTTTTATAACCACCCGCCTCGGGGTATGTGGGAGCGTTTGATCGATGCGCCGTTACTCCAACGGGAGAGTGTAAAAAGAACTTAATCGAAGTCAAGACGAGTGTATTACCGTAATGTGTACATGCCGATTGCAGTGGGTGAAGTAGTTAGCGGCGACCGAATGGTAAACAGTCGACGTCGCCCAAAACACGTCATTACGGATCCTCCTGATCCATTAACGGTGCTTTTAGGTACCGCAAGCAGAGGTCAGCGTTCTCGTCGAACCCATCGCTTGCGACGAAGAGCTCGACGAACGAATTAACCCACAGACACAGCCCACTGAGTTTCTCGCCGGATCTTCTCATTGGGTCGCGTTTCCGATCCGGTGATAGATTCTGTGAAGCACGGCTCTTGCTAGGGTTCGTGTTAGCAAAGTCGTCAGGTTTGAGCCCCGTGGGCTCATCTACTAGTTAAGGTTACGCTGAAATGGCCTCTCAAGGCTCTCAACTTAGGTAGGAAAAAAAAAGGAAAAAAAAGGTGAATAGGATAGGTAGGTAAAGAAACAAAGTTGAAAGGATATCGATTCCATTTTAGTTCATAAATAAATTCGTAATAACGGCTAAATTTAGCTGGAAATTTGAATTTTAAAATTCCCACGCCATATGTTAGTATATACTCGTAATAAAAAAGAGAACACGAAGCTCCTAAACAAATATTTTTTTTTTTTCATAAAAATCACAATTTGCACAATTGCGCGGGAAGCATCAATCATTTGAGCGCCATTTTTGACAGAACGCGCCAAACTCATATCGTTTGAATTCCGAAAAAAATATGAAAGACGTAATCAAGAGTATTGTATCGATAGATTTAATTCGATCGTTTTTAGATTGATATCCATCCATCGATTTGGGAGACGGACAGCTAATCCAGGAAGCGTGTATTTTGTTAAGTGTGTTTGTTTGATTAAAAAACTTACAGCGAAAAACTAAAACCCGGTCATCATCCTCGCCAAACCCGTCGCTTGCGACGAAAGGCTCGGCCAGTAAATTAACCTATAGCCTAACCCACTGTTTCCGATCCGGTCTTCGATCAACAAGGTGGTAGATTCTGTGAAGCACTGCTCTTGCCAGGGCTAGTGTTAGCAATGTCACCAAGCTAGGGCCCCGTGAGCTCGTTCTGTGAATCTAGTATAACCCTACTATAGTTACTAGAATAGGTAGGAAAACAAAAAAAAAAACACAATATTTGAAACGAATTGACTACAGACACTGGAATCGAATCCCCGACCCTCGGCGCATCATCAGAGTCTTAGATCAAATCGTCCACGTATATTACTAATTCCATTTAAACATCGCGAAAATCGAAGAAAATACTGTAGGTACTTACTACGTTTTAGTTTCGATACGTGTTTCATTTTAAAGTTTTAAAATAAGTATTAATTGCGATATGCACACACACTGCAAAAATGAAGTCTTCGTTTACGTGAAAAAAAAAAATCTTTCAAATGGTAATTTTACTTTTAATCCAAGTACTTTTAAACTAATTTTACTGTCAAAGATCCGAACATCAGTTATTTTGTCGAGATAAATAAATATTTTATTATGTTTGATGAAAAAAAAACTTCCAGACTCCAAGAATCCAAAGAAACAGAATACCTCTTTTTATCGCTTTGAAAAGAAAAACAGACGGCACGCGGCCTGTCTGACATTTATTGGTTTAATTGTATGTCGACTATCTCACTGAAAAGCTTAAAATGACCAAAAAAGGTTGTAGGTACAGTTTATTTATTTATTAACATTTTATTAATTGTGCATTACAAAATAAATTTATTTTAAAATTATCTTGCATAATAAAGGCAAACGATTCATCACCGTCGAAATTTTCCATTAGCACAGAGTATTGCAATTTTTTCCCGCCATTTTCGCTTTGTTTTTTTATGTAGCAAAGGAAATTTATTTAATTCGCTGATGTCGTTGGGAACCGAAAATCGTCAAGTCTCCCGTAAAGTAAAATCGGTAACTATACCTACACTCTGCCAACAGAAAAACACACGCCTGCGTATATACTATAAATATATTTAAAAAAACTTCCAGAATACAAGAATCCATAGAAGCATATCCATAACCAAAAAAAGGATGTAGGTACAGTTTATTTATTATATTTTTACTAATTGTAGATTAAAAAAGAAAATGGTTTTAAAATTCTCCATCTTAATAAAGGCAAACGACTCCTCAGTATCGAATTTTTTCCCGCCATTTTCTTTCTTTTAATGTAGCAAAGGAAATTAATTTAATCTGCTGATGTCGTTGGGAACCGAAAATCGTCAAGTCTCCCGTAAAGTAACATCGTTAACAATGCTCTCTGCTAACAGCACGACACATGCGTGCGTATATACTATAAACATAAATTGGAAACCGCAACAATTGCAGAGAACCATTAAAACAAGCATGTTGCAGCTGCGAAGTGGCGTCCACTCAACCGTGGCGCGCGGCCTCCGGGCCCGCCCCCCGACCCGGCACAAAAATCAACATAAATAACAATACACACCCCTATTTCAGCCACCCTGACAACCACTTAAAGCCAAGAACGTCATAAGTGTCCTACGAACATCACACGATATTCAACTCAAAAGACTCTTCTCCAAGTCAGAAAACTATGTGTATTATTTTCGAGCGCCCGAAAAAACTACCAAGTGTGTGCAACAATTGAAAAATTTTCGTCTCTTTCGTGCGTTCAATGGGTCTATCCCTCTTTTATTAAATTTATTGTCAATGTAATGTATATAAAACTTGTCGAAATGAAAAGGGTCTCAGTCTAAATCTTGTGTTGCCCGTGACATTATCATTTCGAAATGCTTTCCGTTGAGCAGACTTATTCGAGGCTGTTTAGGCCGTGGGACGTAAGTGATAAAAGTGATGCAACTAAAGAGGAAATTAAAAGTAAAAAGAGAAAAATCGAAGAACAAAAACGACAGAATCGTTTGAGGAAGATCCGTGGAATATACAAGAGAGACATCAACCAAGACGCCACTGTGTCGACGACAACTGCAGACGAAGACGTAAAAAAGCCTATCGATGCTGAGTCGCCAGTGACCAGTTTGAGTTTGTGCTGTGACAGACTGCTTCAGGATCCGCAAAAAATAGAATTAAAGAGTCCACATTCAGAACCTAGCCCGCTAATGCACACATTATCTGAGTCACCAGGTATACCCGTAACTCCGATGATGTACAACCAAATGGTGACACCTGAATACGCCCCTTCAGACATTGCACAGGCATTAGGTATACCACCAACCGATCCTTTACTTCTGGAATCACTAGCCCAAGGCTACGCGATGGAGCTCGAATACGCGAGGATACTCCAACAAGAAAACGAAGCGAAATTAATGAATGCTAGAAAACAACGCCCAAAAAAATACAAATGTCCACATTGCAACGTTGGCTTCTCGAATAACGGTCAGCTGAAGGGTCATATACGGATCCATACTGGTGAAAGACCTTACAAATGCGACGAAAAGAACTGCGGCAAGAGTTTCACCAGAAACGAAGAGTTGACCAGACATAAAAGAATACATTCTGGCGTGAGGCCGTTTCCTTGTGCGACTTGCGGGAAGAAGTTCGGGAGAAGAGATCATTTGAAGAAGCACACGAGGACGCATTTCGTGCAGGCGGAGAGGATGATGCCGGTATTCGTGCCTCTAGCAGCCATGCCTCATGTCGCGGCGTACCCATATCTATATGGCTACTGATGAGCTATGAATCCAAGAGGAATAAGGAATTAAACTGTCAGCCCTAGCGTGGCCTCCAGCGTGCTGTGAAATTTGAATATCTACTGAACATTTTTTCAGCAATTAATTAATAGGTCAAAAATAATGAAATTTCGGGAAATTTTAATGAAAGAAGTTGCAATGCGGAAGCAATTTTTCGAAGCCATAGACAATATTGTTTTGTATTCAAGATATTCTTTCGTGAAGACAAAGTATTATGACTTTGATTGCTCTTAAAATTAGTACAGCGTTTTTGAAAAATATCGTCTATATTTTGTGTGACGAATTTATTCAATGTCTATACGTATTACGGGAACAAATGCACATGTTGTAATAATTATTAGGTGTGTACACGGTATAAGACATTTTGTCAATTTTAGATAAATTACATTAAAGTATATAAAGGTATATGTTTGCAGAAGAAATAAATATTTTTTGAGAATTTATTATGTATTAAAATAAATATATTTTTGCAATTGAACGTTTTCAAATTTATTTACCTGGTCTCTTCGAAATGTGGTACGTATTGGTTTTATTAATCGACTTCAAAAAAAGGACGACCTCAATTCGACTCTATTTTTTTATTTGAGTTTTCAACAGAAATTTTTTTCGAGGTCAGTGGGTGTTTTTTACTTTTTTTTTATTGCTTAGATTGGTGGACGAGCTCACAGCCCACCTGGTGTTAAGTGGTTACTGGAGCCCATAGACATCTACAACGTAAATGCGCCACCCATCTTGAGATACAAGTTCTAAAGTCTCAGTATAGTTACAACGGCTGCCCCGCCCTTCAAACCGAAACGCATTACTGCTTCACGGCAGAAATAGGCAGGGTGGTGGTACCCACCCGCACTCACAAGAGGTCCTACCTACCACCAGTAATTACGCAAATTATAATTTTGCGGGTTTGATTTTTATTACACGATGTTATTCCTTCACCGTGGAAATCAATCGTGAACATTTGTTGAGTACGTATTTCATTTGATAGATTGGTACCCGCCTGAGTTTCGAACACCGGTGCATCGCTCAACACGAATACACCGGACGTCTTATCCGTTAGGCCACGACGACTTCAATTGGTGTTAAGTGATTTTCCTAGGCCAGAGATATCACAATGTGTATCAGGCCATTCGCATTGAGGAGTCGAAGTCTCGACTGTCTTGCATAAATATGGTCACACTCTCTAATCTGATATTCTTGAGAGGCTATGTCAGCGTAACCGGGCTAGTAGGTGAGTTCACGGGGCTAAAACCGGAAGTGCTGCTAACACTGGCCCTAGCAAGAGCAGGGCTTCATAGAATCTACCACTGGAACGGAAACGCGACCCACTGAGAAGATCCGACAAGAAAGTCAGTGGGCTGTGTCTATAGGTTAATTTACTCGTGGGGCCCTTCGTCGCAAGCGACGTATTCGACGAGGATGGTGACCGGTGCTTGAGGTACCTAAAAGCACTGTTAATGGATCGGGAGGATCCGTAATACCGTTTAGGGCGACGTCGACTGTTTAACATTCGGTCCACAGGATCGGGTATCCCTTTAGATCGTAACGCGGGACTGCTTCGCAGCAAGAATAGGCAGGACCGTGGTATGTCCAATAAAATATACGCCAGTTGGTATTAAAATATGTTGTTGATATTTAGATATTGCAGCCGTACTTAACTTAAAATTTCTTCACTGTCTTTTACTGTACAACTGAATACATGAATATATATTCTTATTACTGGTGCTAGAGCATCTTGTGAAACCCGCATGGCTAGGTACTGCTACTCCGCCTATTTCTGCCGGGGAGCAGTAATGTTTCGAAGTCGTCGTGGCCTAACGGATAAGACGTCCGGTGCATTCGTGTTGAGCGATGCACCGATGTTCGAATCTCAGGTGGGTACCAATTTTTCTAATGAAATACGTACTCAAAAAATGTTCACGATTGACTTCCACGGTGAAGGAATAACATCGTGTAATAGAAATGAAACCCGCAAAATTATAATTTGCGTAATTACTGGTGGTAGGACCTCTTGTGAGTCCGCGCGGATAGGTACCACCGCCCTGCCTATTTCTGCCGTGAAGCAGTAATGCGTTTCGGTTTGAAGGGTGGGGCAGCCGTTGTAACTATACTGAGACCTTAGAACTTATATTATAAAAAAAAAAAAAAAAAAAATAAAAAAAAAAAAAATAATAATAATTATAATAATCGCTAGAATGATGACTAACACAGGGATAAAGGTTGTCCCGTAGTGAAAGGGGACAGATAACCAGGAGGGAGGTTTTAGTCCGTAGGTCTAGACACTTCCTCAGTGGAGTCGGGCATGCCCTTTGGCCCGGGCCCTTGGGTATCCATGAGGATTTCCTCCCGCCCACGAAATAAAAAAAAAAACTTATATCTCAAGGTGGGTGGCACATTTACGTTGTGGATGTCTATGGGCTCCAGTAACCACTTAACACCAGGTGGGCTGTGAGCTCGTCCACCCATCCAAGCAATAAAAAAAAAAAAAAAATGTGTTACGATTTTTTCGGCGGCTTTTTAAAAGAACTATTTGTACCTTCTGCCATTGATGATTTTTCTTAAGTCTCGTTTGAAGGTCATGTCATAGTAATCAGGAATCTGTATATAAGTAATCTAATTATCATGTCATAGTAATCTAATTACATATATGTTACTTGTTTGTTCACTACAAACATTAGGGAGATCTTATGAGCATACCTACGCGGATAGCTATACCTCCACGCTATTTCTACCTATTTCTATTATTTCTATTCTATTCCCATTTCTACCGCGAAGCAGTAATGCGTTTCGGTTCGAACGCTATAAATAAAATTTTCAAGTTTGCAAGGTACAGAGTATTTTGAGAAACAAGAATTTCAAGGTTTTTATTTATTTGTTCAGTCATTCTTAAAATCGAACGAAAGTATTTGAAGACTTTAGTTAAGTCTGAAGTAAGATTTTTAGAAGTAATCATTTTTATGACACATCATTAAAATTTATAAGACGTATTCTATCGGATATCATTTTAAATTCAAGAAAACGCCATTATAGATGTCAATGTATTTTATCTATGGATGTCATAGACCATCTATCATTCGAATACAAATTAAAAAATAGTTGTGCAAATTCACAAAACGTCATTCAAGTACGGACTTCCGTTTATCAATGCAGTTTTTTTTTTTTGTAAGCTCTGGCATTGGGTTCCATTTCATTTGGCCTTGTTATAAGAAATTTGTTGTAAAAATGTTTTGACTTTACTTTATTGTTAAATGTCTAATGTGAACACTTGCATTATGAATGGAATTTCGAGAAATGTTTACGAGGAAATAATTAGAGGCAATGACTACCTATTCCTTAACGGAAATTGTAAATTAATTTTTGATGTGCGAAACTATCTAAGGATCTATTGTACTTTCAGAAGAAAATATACCAAATATGTATGATCTCTATATATAAAAAGGAATTGCTGTTCGTTAGTCTCGCTAAAACTCGAGAACGGCTGAACCGATTTGGCTAATTTTGGTCTCGAATTATTCGTGGAAGTCCAGAGAAGGTTTGAAAAGTAGATAAGTAAATATGAAAATCATCTCTATATATAAAAATGAATTGCTGTTCGTTAGTCTCGCTAAAACTCGAGAACGGCTGAACCGACTTGGCTAATTTTGGTCTTGAATTATTCGTGGAAGTCCAGAGAAGGTTTAAAAAGTAGATAAATATGAAAATCATCGGAATTAAATAAAAATAATAATTTTGTTTTCCCTTTGATGTGTCACCCGTCGGACGGATTCCTTTTGTTTGTTTTAGTTTGTTTTATACAAAAGTTTCGATCTTTTATTTATCGATTGAGGCACTACGAAGTCTGCCGGGTCAGCTAGTAGTAAATAAAATAATGGTTTTTTATCGATTGCAAAATTCATTGCTTTATGATCATAGTGTTTTTGTAAAATTTAAAATATAAATGGATATACATACATATGATTACATAAAAAGCACTTTAATATTTGGTCATATACATATATATACATGTTAACTGAATTGATTTTAAAATTATTTATTTTCTACATCTCTCTCTCTCTCTTCGATCGGTTCCTCACTGCTGAGGATCGTGACTCCGTCCGATTTCGTCAACCAACTGTCTCCATCGATCCCGCCCTGCAGCCCGGTGGAGTGCGTCGCTGATAGGTATCCCCAGTTCCTCCGCTATTTTCTACATACAATATACATAATTTGTAAATCCAGTTATATTTTAAAATTAACAAAAAGTGCATGCTCATGTCGTTATCAATGTAGTCACAATATTTATCTTATTCGTAATAAATCTTAGTCAATCTTCACTGATTCCCATTATCTACCTCGTAAAACTTTAATCTTAGCCTTGACAATCCGACAATACGCAATAAACATGAAATAATTGCAGCACATCTAGAACCAAATTAGCAACTTTCCCACGTTACCATTGACCTAAATACTTTAAGATTTATTTATCGGACATCCGTTTCTCTACATGACGTCACAATTTGTAACAACAACGCCATTTAATTGATTGAATAAGATGTTTTCATTGCACACAGCGTGAGGTCTTTTGGGGCAGCCTCAGTTGTATATCTCGTTGGTAATTGAGACATTGCATTGATTTCACAAATTTGATGTAAGTAAAACAAACTTGTTTAAATACATTTTTGTTATAGGTTATAAAGTTAGTTATAATTGATAATTAAATTGCTATGGATTTTTGCTGATTTTCTTCATTATTTTTATGATCACGTGAAGATCACTTGAAAGAGAAGTTAATTTATAAATTTATTTTATACGATAAAGCATGATGTTCCCGATTTATTTCGTTATTGTTTTTTTTTCTTTTTATAACATTAATACCTTTTAGCCGTTTGGTTTTTTTATGAAAAAAAAAACAATGTTTGTCATTCTCACGGTTCGAAAAAGTTAAGTTCTTTCAATCGGATAGATACCCTTTGGACAAACACCACAAGGATTTATATCGGAACCCG